AGGATGGAGAACATGTGTCTTAGGGCCTGAGGCTTTCTTGGTACTGTGTTCCAGGTGTCCAGCTTTGTGCCTGGCATATGATGGGCCCTCAGTTAAAATCTGCAGGAGGAGGTCAGTGGGGTGGGGCCAGGGGCTACTGCACAGGGTGATGAGGGAAGGGCCTGTCTCGGGACCAGCTTCCTGCCCTTTCTGGCCTTCCTGGCCTGGGCTTGGAGTTGGGCGTGGACAGTGGCTGTCTCATCCAGGTGTGCTGGTTGTGTTCAGTGCCTCCTGCAGGACCTGTACTCAGCAACAGGTCCCTGCTCTGCAACAGGGTCCCTACGCCCTCAGACACTGCGAGCCTCCCAGGGAGAGCTGGGCCTCGGCCTGAGGTGCGGGCAGGGCTGTAGCAGGGGACAGGTCCCGGGCTGTGGCTAGTATGGATTCACCTTCAGCTACTTTTTATTAAAATTTTATTGAGGTAAAATACACACAGCAAAACATTTCCTATTTTTACATTTTCCGGTATATAATTGACATTAATTATACCCACCATGCTGTGCAACTGTAGGCACTATCCATCTCTGAAGGTTTTCTATCAGCCCGGACAGAAACTTAGGAGCCCTGGTGATGCCACAGTCCAGCACCGGTTGCTAACCGAAAGGTCGTGCTTCAAACCCAGCAGCCGCTCCATGGCAGAAAGACCTGGTGATCTCCTCCCTTCAGACGACAGCCTAGGAACTGCCGTCCAGGGCAGGTCTCTGTCCGACAGGGACTGGAGTGGTCGGTGTTGGCAGCACACAACAATAGCAATGACAGGAGGCTCAGCATCCCTGCAGCCAGAACTCTCTTCCTTCCTGGGGACCACTAGAAAATGCTGGTCTCCAGCCATTCGCCTGGTCTGCACATTTCATGTAGTGGGACCATATACTGGTTGTCCTTTTATGACTGGCCTGTTACACGCAGCATGATGTTTCCCAGGTTCGTCCATGTTGTAGCATGTGTCAGGACTGCCTTTCTCTTGACGACTGAGTAATAGCACATTGTGTGTGTGGACCACATCTTATTCATTCATCCACCAGATGTATTTTTTTTATACAACCCTGGAAGAAAGTGTTTGGCCATGCACACTCAGAGAAATTACCCCCCAACACCCTCAAAACATCCTGAGTCTTGTAATGAAAGGGCTACCTGGCCTATTGCTGTGAGGGTTGCTTTTGCCACGTTAAGCCATTCCTTAAAACTTGAAGTGTTGTGAAGTTACTGAGAGTAGGAAATACCCCTGAAAGATATTTCAAGGTCATGGTCATTTCTCAGCCACAGATTGAAAATGACTTCTTTCCTTAACGACCCTTTTCTCCCTCCCTCCCTTCCTCCTCCTTTTCCAAGCCTTCTCCTACCCCAGCCTCTTCCTTCCTCTCCTCTCAGTTCTTTCCTTCTTCCTTCCCTAACTTCCTTCCTCCCTCTTCCTCCTCCTAACTTCCCTTCTTCTTTCTCAACTTTCTTCCTCCTCCTTAACTTCCTTCCTCCCTCCTTCCCTTAACCTCCTTCCTTCTCTCCTCCAAGTCCCTTCCTTCTTGCCTGGACCATGCTGAGAGTTCATGGTAAAAGGCGCTATCTTATTCCATATTTTACTGTCAAGCTGATGCTTTGGGGTCTGAAAAGCGAATCAGATGGTGGGTGGGGACTTCACAGAGCCGATTTCTATCCATCCAGTATGTAAATTGCTTTGTGAGGAAGACCTGCCCTAACGCCTGGCTTGATTGGTTTTCATTGTTCTTTTGTGTTTTGATGCTCCTGTTTGCTAAGTTCTGTGGTTTAGAATTACGAAGTAAGTGAAATCCCATTTGGCCTTTGAAGATCAGAGTGTGAAAAACTTTCAGATATGACTATGGTTAATCAGTCCTTGGCCCTGGGATGCTAAGATTCAAGGCCAGTGCTCCATGGCCTTCTATCCCAGAATGCCATCGCCTAGACTCCAAAGCACCCTTCTGTGGTTTCCCATTGCTGGTCCCTGTCTGTCTGGCGTCTTGGATTCCCCAGCATAAGATGAGTAGGTCAGAAAGTAATTGATGGGTATTTCCAGACAATCTTGAAGAGTGTTGAGGGCAGACCTCTGAGAGGGAGCTTCTCATAGAACCTGGGGAGCTCATCTTGTCCCTGGGGGTTCATGTGTCAAGTACATTTGCTCCGTTTTATAAAGCGTTCAGATTACATGCAGCAAGTCCACTTGGGGAGCTTCTTCCCTCTGATTGTCACAAAAGCACCTCATGATTGAGAGCACGTGGCCGTCGCTGGCCTGTGACTCAGACTTCTTTCTCCCTGGCCAGATCACTACAGGCTACAACCTGGAGGATGACCGCTGCGAGTGCGTGGCTCTGCAGGACTTCCGGGCCGGAGAGCAGGTGTGTCTCCCACTGTCCTGGGCCAGCGAGGGCCGCAGGCATCTGGCTGTGGGTCGTTGCTATAGGCCAGATGACTGGGATTCAGATGTGGGAATATTTGTTTCCAGATGCATCTTGGAGCCAGAAACTAGTAAACATGCTGTGTTTTGAGTGGACCTTTGGGTCCACAAAGAAAAACTGATTTAAAAACAGTGATTAGCACAACTGACTGAAAAGAGGTGTGGTGTTACCATACTGGGACAAAGTTGTCAGTTGCAGCCAGCGTGCTGTCCTCATTTCTGTTTCTGCAAAGAGGACCTTCTTGAAGAGGCAGCTCAGGTGGCAGGAGCACAAGAGAGTCAGAACCTGGGACCCGTCTGCCTGCTTCTGCTTTAATCCTGGAAGCTTTTCTCTAATAATTTGCATGAGGGTAGGGTTATGCTTTTGATCAAGTATGCATCGTAAAGAGCTGAATCGTATCTGTTTGTCTCATGAACAAGTGTAAGTACAAAAAAACCGCTAAAATAGACTTGAGACATCCCAGTTGAAACAAACGGAAAATATCAGTCTCCCAGAGTACTCATCTGCCACTCCTGCGGGCGAGTTCACGGACCCTCCACCGGGCGCGGGATTGCCACTGGATCTAGACATAGATTGTTCCCAAATCAGCTCCTCAGTATGTAAAGGGGAGGAGGGTTCTGTGGTGTTGGAGTGTAACCTTAGTGTAGCTTTGCTGTCCCTCAGAAGCAGTGGCCTCAGGCCTTATCCCCAGCCAGCATTCCCCCTGCCATATTATGATGGGAAGAGGGGCCCTCCCGCTCCACCTCAGATAGCTGGGGAACTAGGCAAAGTGTACCCCCTCACTGCATGCGCTAGACGAAGTGGGCATGGGGTTACTTTGTGGCTCTTTGGCCCCCTTTGTGTAAAGTATTGAATCAGAGAACTAGCCCTCTGCCTGCTCTATGATAAGAACGGATGTTAAGTTTGTTTTCTGTCCATTTCTCCTTTGCTGCATCTCAGATTTACATTTTTTATGGCACTCGGTCAAATGCAGAGTTTGTGACCCACAGTGGTTTTTTCTCTGACAATAATCCACACGACAGAGTGAAAATAAAGCTCGGCGTGAGTAAAAGCGACAGGCTGTACGCAATGAAGGCGGAGGTCCTGGCTCGCGCAGGCATCCCCACGTACGTAGAAGAGCATGCTCTCCTTCTCTGTGCCGCTTGAAATGTGCCCCATTGCACAGTGTCTGATTGGTGTGTTCGTAGAGCCGCTCCACAGTTGTCTGTCTGCTCCCCTTATCCTTGTTGCACGACAAAGCTAAGCCATGGTGATCTAGGAACACTCTCAGATAAATGTAATCGTATGGTTGGGAGTGCTCCCAGTGAGCTGGGGTACAGCCAGAAACCCTCATTACCTTAAGTAAGTGCTGCGATGTCATTGATGTCTTTCGCCTTGAAAAGGTTAATGGCCCACATCCATTTGTTTCATTTAATTCTTTGCCACCATTAGTTTCTGCAACGAACCCATGATCCTCAGTGATTTCAAGAATTTGTGGTTGCATTCTTTAAGATTCTCTTGCGTTTGAGGCGCAAGATGGTATAGAAGCCAAGAGCGATGATCTCTCAGTTCTCGGGGGAGTGAAGGGACTGTTCTCCGTGGAAATGGATCAGCCAGGCCTTTTGTACTGAACTTGTCAGTAGTTGATGAATGACTAAAATGTGAACTCACCGTAAATGATCATCACTTACGGGCACGTTGAATTCCCTTCATGTACCGAGCGTATGCAACCTGGGCTTCAGGCTGGTGGTGACTGGAGACCCTGGCAGAGGCGGCTGCTGCCGAGGCTCGGCCCCCAAGTTCAGCAGCCCTTGCTGTCTGCGTTTTGCAAGGCCTGCAAATTGTGCTGTCATCGCTCTGACGAGGACACAGAATTATTCACACGGCCCAGCCTTCCTTGAGGGCAGCGGCACGCACTGCAGGGCCAGGGCAGTCACTCAGGGCGCACAGGTAACTCTGCGGGAACTGACCTCGCTTCCTGCTTTTGTCAGTTCCAGCGTGTTTGCATTGCATTTCTCGGAGCCGCCCATCTCTGCCCAGCTCCTGGCCTTCCTCCGAGTGTTCTGCATGACGGAGGGTAAGTCACTGGGTCATTGAGCAGGGATGGGGCCCCATGGCACCTGTTTCTTCTTAGTTCGTGGACATATAATTTAGCATAGGAAGTCAGATTACAGACACAACTCCTTCAAACTAAGCAATTTTCAGGAATTGGTAAGATGGCAGCATTAGAGAAAATGAAGTAGATCTGGTTCGCCCTGGAAACATTCTCCTAAACCCTGCCTGTGTGCACAGTCAGGCCAGTAGCCGATTGGAAGAGAACGTGACCATCTGATTACCTGAGCAGATTTCCACTTGTGTGGCGGGGAGTTTTTCATGCACTTACTTATCACCTGGGACTGTCAGCTGGGGCTTCCTCACAGTGCGTCAACATCCGTACGTTTCCAGCTGACCCTTTGAAACTATGTGGTCAGTGACAGGGCACGTGGGCCAGCACGTGACTCCATTTGGCAGCCACTCTGTATGCTGATCCTTTGCTAACAGATGCAGCATAACACATTTCTTTTTTGAACATTAGATGAACTTATATTAAAAAAAAAACAAACTTGAATCATTTTAGGGCCATTCATTGTCTTTAGTCATTGAAAGACAGTTTGTCACATCCTCCTGGAGACAACTGACGCATCCCTTGAATTACTCTAATACTAATAAAGGTTTGGCTTGCTCACAGCAGAAGCCCTTCCATTTGAATTGTAAATAGTGGCAGCTGTGGGGCATTTTGCTCTGAAAGGGATGCTGGCTTCTATTCCCTTGGGAGCCTGACTGTATTTCTTGAGCATGAAGAGGGCCAGTGGGCTCTGGTCCTTGTGGAGATAATATTCTTGGACCATTTGCTGACTTCTTTCCTTAAGTCTGTGAGAAGGTAATTGAGATGTTCCCTTATAGTTCCTGCTTAATTTCCTGACAAGTGAGATAGATAAGCAAGTGCTTCGCTGAGAATCTTGTAGTTCATGTCTTGTTTCTTTCCGTTTGTGTCTTTACTTGTCACGAGTTAAAGGACCTTGTTTAGTCAGGGCAGCCAGTCAGGTTTAGAAGGCTTGCTGGGACCAGTGTTCACGGTCAGAAGCCTAGAAGGCTCACTGGGTTGTGGGGACCAGTGTTCAGTCAGGAGCTTAGAAGGCTCACTGGGTCCTTTGGGACTGATGTTCATTTGTTCACCTAAATGTTTTTTTCACCTGTTGCTGTGACGGAGCCCATGGCTAGCAAGAAGGGCACTGTCACCATAAGGAGTGTGCCACAGAGCCTGTCTTTGAAAGTTTCTTGGGAACTGTTGAAAGGCTCTCCGTTTCCCTCAAAAAGCAATGAAAATTGGAGTGCCATGCCAAGGCTTGATCTGGATCCCAGACACAGACGATGCTGTCTCCGCTCTGTCCCTGGAAACTCTGCTGAACGCTGGGTTGGAGAGTCTAGAAATGGACCAGCTAATTGATCAGGGGGAGCGGTTAACTGGGGGAGATGGCATTGTTGGAAGGGACATTTTCCAGGGTGGATGCTCGTTAAAATGAGGAGTCCTTCCTTCCCCTCATGGGTTGGTGTGTGTCTTTCTTGTAGAAGAGTTGAGAGAACGCCTGCTGGGAGACAGTGCTATTGACAGAGTCTTCACCTTGGGCAACTCTGAATTCCCCGTTAGCTGGGACAATGAGGTCAAGCTCTGGGCATTTCTCGAAGATAGAGCGTCGCTTCTTTTAAAAACGTATAAAACAACTATTGAGGTAATTAGAGCAAATCAATGGGGATTTGTGCTGTGCCGTTTTTAAACATGTTTAAGAAGAGATCCCTCCCTGAATATAAATTACCTTTAGCAAAATAATTGTGTATTTGATGATTTTTATTCAACATGTTAATATTTTACCACTTAAAGTGTTTCCCAAAAACCCACTGCCATCGAGTCGATTCCAACTCATAGCGACTCTGCAAGACAGAGTAGAACTGCCCCGTAGGGTTTGCAAGCCTGTAAATCTCGACAGAAGCAGATTGCCTCATCTTTCTCCCAAAGAGTGACTGGTAGGTTTGAACCGCCAACCTTCTGGTTAGCAGCTGAACCGCTAACCACTGTACACTGTACCACCAGGACTCCTTCTGAAGATGTTTACCCTGACCAGAAACACTAATATTTAGGCATTGCTATTAGGTGATATTTTTGAAAAGATCTATTTTCATATGATACCACAGTTTTTATTTGTGCTTTCAAAGTTTACCATTGAGCCACTGACTTGATACACTTCTTTCCCATCCATTGGTCCATGCATCCGTCTGTCCATCCATCCATGTGTCTGCCCATCCATCCATCCATCTATCGCTGTCCATCGATCCATGCACCTATCCATCCATCCAGACACTGAGCCCTGGCTTACAGCAGTGCATACCAGACAGGATGGCTTCAAACATGGGAGAAGTTCTGTTAGACAGGCTTAGGCATCTTTTCATTTAGGCCTCTTTTCTTGCGTAGTTCCTTTTGCAGCAGTTTTCTTGAGATGTCTTTCAGTAAAATAAGCCCCACCCTTTCTAAGCGCAGATTCATGTAGGTGTGAGTCACGTGACTAACTTTTACACTGTGCCCGTCCCCTCGAGAGCTCCCTTGCCTCCCATCCCAGTGACGCTGATTGACCTTCCGCCGCTGGTTTCACGATTGATGCTTGTCCTCACGCATTGTCCTTGGTGTCTCTCCAGGAGGACAAGGCCTTCCTGAAGAGCCGTGACCTTTCTGTCCGGGCAGCCATGGCCGTCAAGCTGCGCCTGGGCGAGAAGGAGATCCTGCAGAGGGCGGTGAAGAGCGCCGCCGGGAACCGGGAGTACTACCGCAGGCAGGCGCAGGAGCAGGCCCCGCTGCCCCGGTCCGAGGAGGGCGCGCTCGGGCTGCTGGAGAGCGGCGGGGCCGACTCGAGGCTCCCGCTGGTCCTGAGAAGCCTGGAGGAGGAGGCGGGCACACCGGAGCCCTTGAAGATCCAGGGGGCCGTGGGCAGAGCCAAGGCCGGGGACCGGCTGGTCAACGGGGAGAACTCCGCCCCCAACGGGCCCCGATCCGAGAACGGAGACTTGGCTCCAGAAGGTGCCCCAGGCTCTCCTTCCGCCACCGCCCGGGGTGCGAGAGCGCAGCGTTGAGGGCGGCCCGGCCACTGAACTTCCCAGCCCGCCCACGGCGCTGCGCGTCCTTGGGGACGTGTTTTTTCTGCAGAGAGGAAAATACGTTTTTGCTGCTTTCTATAAAAATGATTTTTTTAAGTTATTTAAAAAATCTAGCTTCCCCTTTGGATTAAGATTGCCATCTTGCTTCTAGGCAAAACAAACGCGTTACAGAACCAGTGCGAAAGTCCGGGGGCGCCTTGGGAAGAGTCTCTTCCCCTGCGGTGCTGAGTGGCCGGTCACCTTGACGACCAGAGCCCCGCCTGCTCCGCCTCCTGACCACACGCGTCCTGTCCTGCGGGACTCTAGTTGTTTTGGCCTAAACGTGGGGAGGCGCACAGCACAGAACGGGAGTGAGGTTGAGAAAATGTAGTCTTTTTTTTTTTTTTCTTCTTTAAAAAAATAACACCCAAGTACCAAAAGAAAAGGTAAGGTGGCAACCTTATTTTTAATAGTTTTAAATGTTGATGATAATCCTAATTATATAAAAATACACATACACACATATATATATACCAAGTGATTTCTAAAGATTTGTTTACTTCTGTGTTTCGCTTGACTGTGCTGAGAACCTGCCCCCTTTCTTTGGATCAGAATAGGGCAGTGTGTTCTGCTCCTGATTCACCTGTCTGCTCTAATTTTAAAGTGCTGTTTGGTTCCCAGCTTGGTAATAGACCGGGGAACATGCCCGGGCCACAGCCTCCCCAGGCTGGTGGCCACAGGGGGCCGGCACCTGGCTCTTCTGGTTTTCACAGCAAACTAAGATTTTCAAAGCTACCCTTTTCACTAAAAACTCTTATTAAAAGGAAAATGTGGTTGATACTGTGGCCTCTTGCTTTTCTTTGGTGTAGGCAGGCCTTCTGGATGAAGTTCTTTCACAGACCGTCCTCAGCATTCCCTGGGCAGGCTTGGAACCTTGAAGTGGCACCAGGTGTGTCCCTGCTGCTGAGGAAGGGAGGGCAGAGGGAGCTGGGACCTGGGCAAGGCCTGTGCTCAGCCCCTTGCCACCTGCAAACGTGAGGGGCACTCCTGTGGGGCAGTGTGACAACAGGCACAGGCAGAGAAGCACTTCTAGAGGGTTTTAGGGGAAGTCAGAGGCTTGGGACGGTGTTTTGGGGGTGGGGAGGCTGTCCCCAGAGAGCCACCAGTTTCAGGTGAGTGAGCCCCAGTGTCCATTCCTGTGTTACGTAAGTCACTTACTCTGGAACTCGGTGTGTAGTGTCACCCACCTACCTGATCAACAGTGCCGCACAAAACGGAGTCTTCAGAAGGATTTCTGTCTGTCTTTGGGGAAGACACAGCTTTGCAGGTAAACTGCTCGATCTCCTGAGGCTTTAGGTTAACTGGGTAAGGTATTGCCTAAGCGCCCTGGTGGCACAGTTGTTCAGCACTTGGCTGCTAACAGAAAGGTCACAGTTGGAGCCCCTCCACTCCACGGGAGAAAGATGAGGCAGTCTGCTTTGGAAACCCCGTGGGGCAGTTCCACTCTGTCCTCTAGGGGCGCTGTGGGTCGGAACCGACTCCACAGCAGTGGGTGTGGTTTGGGCTTTGCTTCTGTGAAGATTGACAGCCTTGGATGGATGCCCTGTGGGGCAGTTCCACTCTGTCCTCTAGGGGCGCTGTGGGTCGGAACCGACTCCACAGCAGTGAGTTAAGGCACTGCCTCCCAGCTTAGCGGCATTGATCCTTGCGTTGCTGTGAACACTACCGGCAGTCTCCATTTTTATGTGAGCTTGGAACCTTTCTTGGCATTGAGATGCTCAGAGCTTTCCCACCTGGGTGATGTGTGGGCCCTTGGAGCTTGTTAATTGGATGCGTGTAACTCTTTCATCAGCTTTGTACCTGAGATATGCTACCCAAAACAGCAGCCAATAAAGCTTAGGTATTCATTCCCGAGAGGTGGAAGCACTGTGGGGCTTGAGTTGTCCACCTCGGTACAGAAGCCACAGCAACCTGAATGGACGTAACTAATCTCTGCAGGTCTATTTTCTCATTGGATTAAAAGTTTTCAACTCTAGTAGTAACAGTGTAGGAGCTCTGGTAGCATAATGCCTAAGGCACTTCACTGCTAACCAGAAGGCTGGTGGTTCAAACCCACCAGCCACTCCTCAGAAGGAAGGTTGGGCAATCTACTTTCATAGTGATACCACCTCGGAAACCCAAGGAGCGGTTGCTGTGAGTTGGGTCTGACTTGACGGCACATAACAACAACAACAACAGTAACAATATAGTAGGAAAACACACAAGCAATTCAGACATCAACTAGCATCACAGGGTAGAGTCATTTCCACAGCCTTCCTTGACGGCGACGCAGTTCAGGTGAAAGCACTGGGCCGGGGGTCGGGCTCCCGCCTCTAGGTCGCTCCACCCGGAGGTGGAAGAGCAGTGGCACCCACGGCCCGGACTCCCTGCCTGGCCTGCAGAGACTGTGCCTCAGTCGGCAGCAGCCGTCGAGGCCTTGGTCCTAAGGTGACTGTCGGTTAAGCTTTCTGTCGACGACAGCCTGTGTCTGATGCAACACTGACACCCCTAAGGACAGAATGTTTCCCCTTCAGAAGATAGAGTGTGTTGGATGCTTGGTGTTGGGTGCTGCCAAGTCAGTTCTGAGTCACAGCGACCCCACGTCCAGCAGAGTGGAGCCGCTGGCCAGCCCTTCGTCCCCACAGTCATAGGTGTACTCGAGCCGTTCCCACGGCCGCGGCAGTCCGTCTCGTTGCGAGGCCTCCTCTTTCTCGCTCACCCTCTAGTTTTCCAAGCAGGACGCTCTTCTCAGGGACTGCTCCCTCGTGATACTGTGTGCAAAGGAAGGAGGCGGAGTGGTGCTTTGCTGGCTTGGGCGGAGCCACCCGGAAACGGCGCCTCGAAGCTGGTGAGACCACAGCGTCTTGGTCGTCCTCTCTGCCCGCTCTACTGGCAGACAGTGCTGCCGGCGCCAGCGCTCGGAGCCCCAGCTTACCCGTTTGACAATTGAGGATGGTGGCTGAACCGACGTCGAAGAGCCCTCACTGCCGTCCGTCCTGCGGATGGGCCTTTCCCTCCAGTCACGTGCAGGCTGACGTTCTCCTAATGCTTTTGGATAAGAGGCCTTTGAGGCTCGGCATTGGCAACACTCCCAATTCTGCTTCTGTTTCCTTAGCTCTGTGTATTTGCGTAAACAGTTAGCAATTAGGTTTTGCCAGCTTCGGAAAACCACACGTTTTTTGTGCAGCCTGGCAGTGGATAGGTGAGCCACTCCCCCAGTAGTTTCTAGAACGGATTCCCTAGAAGATGTATGTATGGATGTATGTATATATTTGAGAGACGTGGGGTGAGCTATTACAGACACTCCCAGGCCCCCTACAGAACTACAGGGCTAAATTAAACCTTCACTTAACATAAGGGAAACCCATTTTTTATAAGTCGTCATCACTTGCTGTGTTTTTTGGTGGTAAACGTGTACACGTTGGAACGGAAGAGTGAAGAAAACAGTGCAGTGGCCAGAGTCCGAGCGGCAGTGGCCCCGGCTGCAGGAGGAGGGAGTCCGTCCGTGAGGTGGGCGGGCTGGCGAGCGGCAGAGAGCCCAGGTCTCGCGGGGCGGCCTGGCGCCCGGGGCTGCAGTGAACGTCCTGCGGCTGTCTGCGTTCGGACTAGCTCTGACCTGGCGGAACGAGTGACGACGGGTGATCGTGGGACCCACAGATTTGGCTCCCTTTTATTTAAGTGTCAGTTTCAGGTAGGTGTCGGTTGGAATCCAGTAACCTCGTTAAGGGTCACCCTGCTATTCTAATCATAGCACCTTCTCTAATGTATTCCTAGAATTCAGGGTATAAATTGAATTTGAGTAACTGGAATTGTATTTGAAACACACTGGCAGATCTGTTATTTAAATGAAGGTGCGGTACTGGTCCTGGGCGTGCAGGGCTGACAGGGGAGGCCCAGCGAGGACATGATCCCTGTCGTCAGGGATTTGAAGAACTGTCATGGGAAGGAGGGACCGCTTACTCCGCATCTCTCCAGTGGCCCGGGCCCTGGGTTGGGAGGCAGATTCTGGCCGTGCAGAAGCCTTTTCTGAGTGGGGGGTGGTTGAGAGGACACCTGCCCGCTACAGTGGACCCGGACAGGCCAGCGGGCCTCAGTGTGTCTGGGGCCCGGAGGTGGTACGGGAGGGTGTTGTGAGTGTCCGCCGCCGTGAGCGGTTTCCTCATCTTGCCCACTGCTGGCGAGTGGTCGTGGTGGCCGAGAACATGCAGGCCTGGGTTGCCCTGCGGCTCTGCTGCTCTCCTGGTGAGGGGCCAAGCCCAGCACTGCAGGGCACGCGGGAGTCCTGGTGGCATGGGGGTGAAAGCACTCAGCTGCAAACAGGAAGGTCGGAGATTCAAACCTACCTGCTGCACCATAGGGAGAGATGTGGCAGTCCACTTTCCATGAAGATTATGGCCTTGGAAACCTTATGAGGCAGTTCTACTCTGTTTTCTAGGGGCGCTGTGAGTCACACTTGACTCAGTGACAGTGGGTTTGGTTTTTGGTTTTGGTAGGATGTGCACGCCCTGCTCCTCACTCTGCCCGGTCCTGGGGTGTGCACCCCCTGCTCCTCACTCTGCCTGGTCCGGAGGACCCCATGAGGTTGCACCGATGAGAGCTGCTGGCACGAGCTCAGACTTCATGAATGTTACTTTGAGCCATTGTCGAGTAGCACTCGACTCTCTGGGACCTGTGACAGCGGAAGAAGAAGCTGCCTGGTCCGCACCAGCCACGTGTCCAGTTGTGATGCAGACTGCTGGGATCCAGAGGGTTTTCTGACTTTGAGAAGTACCGGGTCTTTCTCCCTCGTCCATCTTCATCTGGAAGCTCTGCTGAAACCTGGTGAGCATGGTGGCAGCAGGCAAGCCTCCGCCGACAGCCGGGTGGTGGCCGCGTGTGATACCCCCAGGCCGGGAATGGAGTCTAGGTCTGAGCCTCTCCCGGGAGCCAGAAAGGGCTGGTGGGCTAGAGGGTAGCAG